CCTACACGACGCTCTTCCGATCTCCCCAAAACCCCAAAACCCCGTGAGATGAATATTTAGTCAAATTAAAAGGAATAAAATAGAGATTGATGATTGATTATAAAATGGATAATATAACAGACAGCAAAATGCAAGATTCTCTACTTCACTTGCTTGGATCGGGTCATAAAAATGATAGTCACAAAAAGTAGTTCACACCCATTGTCTCAGTCAACTTGGTCAAACCTGAAAAAATTAGTAGCTAGAGAAATGGACTTAGTGAGTACCTTGAATAATCTTTTGAGATTAATTTTAACGTTGCGTAATATGACTCTAATCATAATCATACTGATGATAGATCCTTTAACCTTGATTAGTTCAACTCAAACTCTAATTTCAAGACTCCTATTTAAAAATAAAACTTCAACAAATATCTTAATTGCAATCCACCTAAAAGTCTTTCTTAGTTGATGGAGGCAAAAGATCAAAGCAAGAAAAAAAATTCAACAAATGAACTCAAGCTAGGTAGAGCTAATAACACAACTAGCATTTATGAGGATTTACTCCTTAGTGCATCAAATCATCTCTAGAAGTAAAAAGATAAGTCACCCTATTTTAACAAAGACTAGACTGTTCTCTTAGACTCATTTTACTAGAATCAAATGATGATAAGAAGAGCCTCAGCTAATACATAGAAGAAACTTTTAACAAAAGGAAAGAAATCAGAATTCGTTATGAGCGACAGAACTAATAATTAAAATGATTGGACCTCTAAGAGCTCCATCTATTAAGAAGTTATCATAGAAAAGTCATCAAAATCTATAATGGACACAACCACAACTCAGCACACGAAATAGAATAGTGAGCGAATGACTATAGAGGGCTAGAACTCTAAAAAATCAAGAGAGGAACAAAGGAAAAAATCAGTAGGATTGTCTTGCGATAATAAACTTCACTTTTACAATCATACTGAAATCATGAAGCAAACTAGCTAAAAGGTATCTGAGAGCAGAAGGTAATTGGATGATGAGTTTAATCTACTCCTAAAAAAGCTAGATAAAAAGGGACTCCTTCCAATCTAAAGACAAAACTATACCAAATCAGAGTTATTCAAGCTATTTAAATAGCTAGATTCTGAGATTCAGGCTTCAGAATAAAACTGCAAAAATAACAAATAAAAGTATCAATTTGCGCTCAAGGATAAGACAGACCTAGATAAAGAAAATCAAATGCTGAAAAAGAAAATCGATCAGTAGAATTAAATTATTCACAAATTTGCAAGTCAAAACTATGTAAAAACATTAGAGGATGAGTTAAAATTCAGTAATCAAATATTGAAGCAAATCAGGATAACTATTGGATTTCTACTTAGTTTTTACAAAGAAATCTAAGATGCCTTTGAATCTCCCTTTGAAAATGAACTTCAAGCAAGTATTTCCTATACTTTAGAGAAATTTAGAATTTCAGAGGTATTCACTGATATAGATGTAATTTAAAATAAAATTTCAGACCATGAAAAACTTCTAAATTTAGAAAAATAAGAGCCAGCATCAAATAGGAACTTTGAACCCCCTCACCACCACCATTAATAATCTTTACATTAGAAAATTAAATAAGATGAGCCAAAAACTATCCCGAGATCTAAATCAGCTGCTCAGTACAAAGAATAAAATTCTTATGCAAAGAATTACCTTAATAAAACTTAAAGACCATAATAAAATGAACCTTAAAGGGAAAGATAAAAGTCACCTAAAATATATCATCAATAAACTCTCAAATCTGAAAATGCTCTTAAAAAGGAAATTGACATGCAGAAAATTCTAATTAAAAAACTAAAGAAAGATCAAATGGAAAAAGACTTTTACATCCTCTAGTTAAAAAAGACTTTAGAGTCAGATAGTGAGAAGTAGTAGATTGTGAATCAGTTAATAGAGTTTGAAAGATAAAAAGAAATGCTTAGACAGGACAGATAATAATTAAATCATGAGCAAGAAAATTAGAAAAATTCAGTCTCCAAGAAGTAGGAGGAACTGGATGATAAGACTAAGATGGTAAATTTATTGTAAGAAAAGGAGAGAAGTCTGCTAATTGAGATAGATGAACTAAGAAATTTACTCAACAACAATCAATCTATCAAATAATTAGAGAGTTCTCTATCATAACTATCTGGTATTTTGCTATCAAACAATGTATATATTTAATCATTCATTAATTATAGAGTGGTCTCAAATATACTGACTCATAAATGAGATAATTATTGTGCGTCTTTAACTTTAAGGAGCAAGTCAGCAGGCTATAAACAGGCATGAGAATAGAATTTGAAGAATCAGGGCGAATTATTGAAAGCTTTATGATGGTCATTGAGTCTATTAAATAGATCTTACCAGACGATCCTACCATCGAAAGTCACTACTAATAATTAAGAGAATTGATTTTTACTAGGGAAAAGAGATTCAAGGTAAGATAACCATTTTAAAATAATTCTTACAGATCTATGAGAAGTGGAAGCAGGTATAGACTCTCCCATCTGAAATATCTAGATTTGAGATACATAACTTCAACACAACTTCTAAGAGCATCTTTGATAATATGGATGACTAGACTATTTTTGAAGAAGTCTCTAACATCTCAAGCTCTCATAATCTAATGAACATGCAATCCAAGATGAGCAATTCACACAGTATAAATGAATTTATGGTCAGTGAGGCTTCTAGAAAGGGTAGGAAAAACTCTAGTAAATCACGAAAGAGATCTAGATAAATGACAAACAACACTAATTTAGATCTTAATCTTCTTGTCTGATATATAAATAATTATTATTCCAAGTGCAGTTTAATTTTACTAACTCATTAACAATAACTTTACTAATCAATGGGGTTTTGGGGTTTTGGGGTTTTGGGG